AATGGTTAGTTATGTTGAATGACTTAAATTAAATAATTTATTAAAAATGTTTACAAAAAGAATTTTCCAATATTTAAAGACCGAAAAACTGTGAATATCAAAATGAGTAGACTTTCTGGTTATCACATCATGATAGTCTCAATTTACTTTGAAACTATCAAAGACTTTATTAACTTGGAGTTGGTGTGCAAGAAGTTTAGAGGCAATATGGAGAAGTTTCACTTCAACCCGATTCCGTTAAATTCCAAAACACTTGGATACTTTCCAAACATCGAGACACTTCATTTGTGGGATAAAAAGGATGAGAATTTTGGCAATGGATTTATGATAAACACAGAGAAAATGGAAATTGTGAAAATAAAGGTTGTTTTAAAGAAAGAATTTTTTCGAATCATTGTGTGGTTCAATGTTGACTTTGAAACTGTTGACAGAAACAAAAATCGAAACATCGAGTTTAAAAATGTCACTTACACTCAAAATGATAGAAAGAAATTTGGTAATAACATACCATCAAGTGTGACATCAATTGGTGAATATTGTTTCAGTTTTTGCGGTAGTTTAAGCAGTATTACAATACCATCAAGTGTAAAATCAATTGGTGATTGGTGTTTCAGTGGATGTAGTAGTTTAAGCAGTGTTACAATACCATCAAGTGTAAAATCAATTGGTTATTATTGTTTTTATGAATGCAGTAGTTTGAGCAGTATTACAATACCATCAAGTGTGACATCAATTGGTGATGATTGTTTCAGTGAATGCAGTAGTTTGACTAGTGTTACAATATTATCGAGTGTGACATCAATTGGTGGTGGTTGTTTCTTTGAGTGTAGTAGTTTAAGTAGTGTTACAATACCATCAAGTGTAAAATCAATTGGTAATCATTGTTTCAATAGATGCAGTAGTTTGAGTAGTGTTACAATATTATCGAGTGTGACATCAATTGGTGAATATTGTTTCAATGAATGCAGTCGTTTGAGTAGTATTAACATACCATTGAGTGTTACATCGATTGGTGATAGTTGTTTTGATAGATGCAGTAGTTTGAGTAGTATTACAATACCATCAAGTGTGAAATCAATTGGTCAATATTGTTTCAGTGAATGCAGTAGTTTAAGCAGTGTTACAATACCATCAAGTGTGAGATCAATTGGTGAAAAATGTTTTCGTAAATGTAGTAATTTAAGTAGTATTACAATACCATCAAGTAT